CGAGGCAGAAATGGCACGGGCGGAGTCACGGTGAGGAAAGGGCGAGGGTGAAGCCCTCGCGCGAAACGGGAGCTATGGTGAAAAGCTTCGGTTTCTTCTTCGCCGGGAGGGCGATACCTGCCGTCCACCTTATGCTTTTTCTCGTTCTGGCCGACAGCACGGTGGCCGTAGACCTTTGTAAGTAACCACCACCTGTGTAATCTGCTCGTCCCCCGTCCAACCTTTACAGTTTTCATCGCGAAAACTTGCCCCATAACTTATTAACGAGCGAAACGATCGCCTCCGCGGCGATGTACCACGTGGCGCTTCACCGCAGTCGACGAACTTTCGATCCGCCGCTGGATTTACAACTGCCCTCTCTCTACCTCTCTCTTGCGGCGCGGTGGTAGCCTCCTCGAATTCGAAACTTTTCGAGTGAAACTTTTGCGCGGTCGAGCGTCGCGGCTCGCGACGACCACCGCCGTTGGCGGGTGGATCGGTAACTCGTGAGCTGCTATCAGAGATCGGAGGCTTTGTGCCCGATGCATCGACGACAACCGTTCGATTTCGTTCGATCCGAATTATTTGGGGATCGACCAATCTTCCACGGTTTCGAATCGAAAATCGAGTCTTGTAGTTCGCGAATATATGTGAGCCAGAGAATTCGGTCGCGACGGATCGCATCTCGCGTTTAACTTTTTACACCCTTGCGTTAGTTTGAAATTAAATGTTTGTCTGCGAGTCTATATTTTTCGTCGTTGCGTCGAATGAGATTAGAACGTTTGACAATATCCTTTTTCTTTTTTATCGCAGATTATGGTTGTGAGTGTGAAATTGATACATCGAATTTTATCAATTTCGAAGGAGAGTTGTAGTAATTCTTCCGTGGAGAAAGAGTAATTTTCAAAGATTTCTAAACGCGAAATATCAAGTATGATGTAATGGAATTTTATTCGATCGTAAAACAGCACGTACAACCTGAAAATACCCTTCTTTCTCTCTCTCTCTCTCTCTCTCTCTCTCTCGTTCAAAATATTCCTTTCACAAGGGATAGCCGAATATCTCTACTCTAGTGGCACTTTCAGTCAAATTCCACCCACCCTCGATAAAGGTCCCTGAAATTTAATGGTTCAATAAACGTCCAAGTAAATTTCCCGCGGTAGACGTCTCACAAGTTGTCCTCATCGAGCGTTTAATCGATCATCGGCCCGTACGAAAAAGCTTGCATCGATTTGCATGTCGGAGTGGCTTAGTCAGCATCCAACAGGCCCGTTACCTTCGCTAAACGATCTGTCATCCGCGTTACCTTTTCTTTTAACGAGTTCACGATATTCGAAATCAATTTGAACAGTTACGTACGATTCGATAAAATGCTACTTTGAATTTTTATTTGGAGGAGAAACGTATTAAATCTTTAAAATTATCATTTTCCATGCAATTTTTAAGTATAATCAGTTTCGTAAATCTATCAGATTTATTGTTTAATTTTTCGATTACCAATTATTTTAGTAGGAATTAGTAATTTTTCTAAAATTCTTTTCTTTTTTTTTTACGCATAGTAAATTAATCCTTGTACAACTTTACGAAAGAAATTTAATTTTAAATAGATTATTCTATTTCAAAGATGGTGATGGAATAATTTTCTTTGCCTTACAAGGATCGTAAGTGGTAATTTAAAATAATCCCAATAAATAATCTCGATTACTTAGGCACAGAGATAGAAATCCTGCAGAAAGTAGCTGAAATAATCGACAAATAAGGATACACGATCGTATTGACTTAAACTATCGGTAATATCGTAAAACGTGGCATAAAATTTCCCAAATCGATATTCGAAAAATCGCAGCCAAGTATATATACTTGCTTATCGCGAAACTCTCTCTCTCTCTCTTTCTCTCTCTCTTTTCGAGACGGCAAACGTATTAACCTGTTGCTACGCGAGAGCATCGCGAGAATTCGAAACGAGGGCGATAAACGTCGCGATCGTTTCGAAAGAAACCGGTTGTTGTGCCGTATTGAAAAAAAATCCCAATATCCCGGCCTAGAATTTCACCTTTATATTTCACGCCTTTACATATTCTAAGCGCATCGATTCTATAAACTGTAACGGACACGCTTTTTTCCCTTCCTCCTCCGGTGTCCAACTTCAACTCCTTTGCCTAAGAAACGGTGAAGAAAAGTGGCTCGTTAATGGAGTACACGAGATCGTTGCCGTGGAATCAATTCAGAATCTTCCTTCGTAGGAAGAAATCTGCCTGCGAGGAAGGAAAAAAAGAAAAGAGAGAAAGAGAGAGAAGAGAGTGTACAAACAGCGAGGGAAGAAGCATAAGCGTCTTGAAAATTCTTTTTTCAATTAAAGAAACGGGAACGTGGGATTGTATCGAATACCCGGATATCTAATTGCAATATATATTTCCTGGAAACCGATTGAAAGAAATGGCCGTGTGTTCATCCCTGTGTCAATAGAGCAGAAGCAATTAATGATGTTTCGTGACGTGCAACCTTGCGCGAATACGAGGATGACGAGAGGAAATACGTGAAATACGAGGAAGCAACAAAAAAAAGAAAAAGAGACAGAAGTTTTCTCACAGAGTGTAGAGAGAGAGAGGGAGGGAGGGGGGATGGGATTAAAACNGGCGAGGGCGATATATCGAAGCTTCATTAATAGTAATAACGTGCCCGATTCTCTGCACCGCTTTGTCTTTTCCACGTGGATCGTTATTGATTCTTCGTTGATATCCAGACTTTCGTTGGAAATAATTCGCG